TTTGTATAGCACCCAATATTAACATGTCGCTACCTGCATCTTAGCTAATTATATACACGAGTGTTCTTAAAATACATAGTACGAATTATTACAGACTATATTTACGTTGTTTATTTTAAGGTCAACGTATTTTGTTGTTCGCCAGTCCGTAATATGTTGTAATGAGCGCAAGTGTACAAGTGGAAGTTACGCTGTTTGTAATTGTATCAAGGCACGTAAATGAACCCGGGTGGCGACAGGGCAAGGCCGAGTGTGGGCAGACGGCCGCTTCACGGCGCCATCGCTTCTACTGAGTTTTTCTACTTTACCCCACAAACCAACGTACCCAAAACACCGTAATAGTTGTCAATCGTTTGTCCTCTAACACAATATCAAACTGAATACAACAAAGTTGCATTACTCTAAAGCGCACTCACACCATACAGGGGCGTGACCATAACTTTAGATGTGTTATGGTAAAACAGTTCATGAATGTTGCGCCACGGTACGCTGCGAAAATGGTAAGTACTCGTAAAGCACTGAAATTTGAAATATTTTTTTTTGCAATATAGCAGAACACAAGAACAATATCTATGATGTGTGGCATGTAAAAAATACACGTTGCTAGAAGAACCGGTGCGACCGCATACCGCGCGAGCGCTTGGTGCAAGGCCTCGCCGTCACCTGCGCCCGCTGTTGCGCTTTTCCGCCTCCGCTCTGTTACCCGCCCCCGCTGGCGCTCCACGCTTTTTACCCGCTGGCACTTAACTCGCACGCTAAATTGCCCGCCCGCTCCCTTACCATAACATAAGGTACAATTTTTTTGGAACTTTCACCAATAAAATAAGTCTCCCTCAATGCTTCGTCTTCGACATCATATTAGAGCACGAATGCAAGGATTCAAATGAAACTGTCTTTCATCAATTACTCGGCCCCTTATTTTTGGAAAACTTTGATAAAACAAGTTTGAAAATCACTGCGATAATGTTTTGTTGCTGTTATATAAACTGGTAAAAAGATGCTTTCGTACAAAATGCGTAAATGTTGGCAGCGACTTGTTGCAGGCTGGAGCGCAGTGCGATCATTACGGGTACTTGACCCAGCAATTTACTTGTAACTATAAAGTACAATTTATGGATTATTAATAGACTGTACGGCCAAGACAAAAATAGACATTGCACGAATATGTACCGTACGGCAATAATACAAAATTGAAAAGTATTTCAATACATTACTTTATTTATTCTGCACGGGTGTTTTTTATCTTCTTATATCTATACCGAATGATAATTAAGAGATATAATGAGTACATACAATCAAAATCCGTACGAGAGAGACAATTCATTCCTCCTACTCTTTCACAACATCAATGGCACAGGCAACTAAGTTAATGCCAAACAGAATTTCACAACCAACTTCTCGATTCAGCCGTAGGTGGAGTAGATTAGGAGTAATAAGCGTTAATATAAGCGGGTCGGCAGAGTCGAAAGATCGATCGAAGATAAATGACGCGGAAGCCGCGAGATACTATCAGCACGGTACTCGGCTTTAAAAAACAAATGACACCCCAGCCCTGGCAACACCGAGGCGTCCATGCCTGTAATACTCACGGGGGCGACTGTAAGACATCCATTTATCGTGCGTATAAAACTTCACTTTTATCGTACATTTAAATATTTCCACAAAACTAAACTTTAGGCCTAAGATCGACAATTCTTACGGTCAAAAATTCACATCCGCTACTCCGAATTACTTTCACGGCGAGTTTATAAATCATAAAAATTCCATGAACGGGCGCACACATCCCATCTCCGCTATATCGCACGCGACAAAAAGCCCATTAGGTAAGCAAATGTATATTTTAATACAGAATAGGCGATAAATCTCGCGATGGGCTTTCGAATTCCGCGCAAGTCAACCGACCAGGTGAGATCGGCTGGGAAATACCACACACATATGTACGAAGGTGCACAACCTTACTTACATACATACTTATGTCGTGTCCGAACCGAATGTGCAGCGATAACGTATTTATTATGTCTTATTTTACGATCTGCCCGGTGGTATCGACGCGCGGACAGTTGAGAATAAATTAAGACTCGGGCGATCGTATTGCGAAGAAAAAGAATATCGATAGAGGATGTGGAGGAGGATAAAATTATAATGGAATGTGAGAGACGTTACTTTGGATTGTTGTGGTTATCTGAAGGTTCCGCATTAGTGGTTTTTGCACGGCGTGGTGTCGGCGCGAGCGACGCCGCGCCATGCTGTCGCCGATGCTACAGTTTCCAATCTCGCTTTTCTTCTCTCTCGAATCAATTTAATTGATCTACTCGAATTGCGGACATTAAAAGAGAATATTCGAAAAACTCAAGTAAGTGTCATTAAATGTCAACTTCTATTATGCGTAGCGTATGGAATGTTATCGCAAAATCTCATTATTTTACGAGTAAATTACTCAAATTTGAAGAAATAACCCAAATTTATATGTCTTTGTCTATTACGTTGCAATAAATTAAAATAACTGAATCATAATATAAATGGCAAATTAAACAATCCATTACGGCACAATTTTGTAAACAAAAATTTGAATTTTAATAAAGACTTTTATTGGGTATCTATGATATCTTTGAAATTTTTATATAAGTAATTAAGTTAATTAATAGAATTTCTATGTTACTAGTAGAAATGCAGCAAGCATTTTTGATCACAAGTATTATTTGATTTTTGTGTTACATAATTGAAAGCCTTAGGCCAAATCATTAATCATTAGTCGAATCATATTTAGCAGTCCATAATATAATAAGAAAACGTTTATTTTGTCTCATTGTAGAACGAAACTCGGTCAGAACTCTCCTATGTATCGCATGCCTTCACTTTGTAATACTATTACATTTGATACTGTATGTCAGTATGCTGGTTCATCGTTAACCGCTGGGCCTCTACAAAAAGAAAGTGTCCAGGTTTTTCACCTAATTTTTAACCTAATGTTACATTGAGTTTTATTATGTATGTTATGTTTGCTATGTACAGAATGCAATCATTTTTTTCTGTGTATATTTCTATTGTAATCATGCCAGATTGTATTCAGTTAAGCAGACCTAATAAACTTTTTTATGAATATTTCTTAGCAAACATTTTGCATTATTCATTTTTTTAGTAATATATAGTAATAATTTAAGTTTTTGTATTATTAACAATAATAATTTGTATGATATAGTATACATTTTTTAGTAAGATCTAATCACAGTTAGTTTATTTGGCAATATATTAATAAAATGCTGGGAGATATCCGGAGATTATGTGATTGCATTTAGCACGATTTACATATGGAAGTTTATGTTTTAAAGGTATCTTGTCGGACCTATTGTGATAAGTGCCATAAGTACGTTGATACATCGCGATGGATGGTACAAAAAACCCTTTATAGTCTGCTATCGGTAATTCAATTTGAAGGTCTATTCAAACGAGCTATCAATGCCATGCAACAGAACTGTTTTGTTTACATTTCGCAGCCGCCACTTTCACATCCGTCCTTGCGCAGGGTTCCGTTAATACAATCCTCTGTATCAATTTAAAATAACAATCTGTTACATAATAATATGCAGTTACTTCACTATATGTGAAAGGGACTTTAGAATGCTTGTTTACAAGTGCAGATTGCGGCTCGTATAAATAATGCACAGTGTTCTATCATTATATACAAGTATAAATGAATAGAAATTCGTTTAAACTTATAATAATTTTAAGGCAGAACATCGCAGAGTAAAGTTCCATGACACTTAGTTATTTCCAGTATCGGTAAAATGGTCATAAATAATATATGACAAATGAGATCTTCGGGTATTCCCAGAAAGAAGAACACGAGGCCACTAATCAAATTACTAGTCATTGTCTAGGTATGAGCCCGACGGGGACGGCACTAAAAATTATTATTCTAAACTTGGCGCGTGATAAATTGATTTAGTGACAGTGGCCACCGTGTGGGCATACAAACGTCCTTTAAACAACCGAGAGACAATTATGGGTACATAGAGTACAGAGCAGCGTTTTGCAGACAATACGATAAATAATACATCGACAATCAACGTTAGCATTGTTGTGTTGCGAATGGATTCAAACCATACAATAGAGCCTTTCTTAAACTAGTAACAATTCCGTATACTTATTCTATAAAAATTTAATATTAGGATATCATAAGTACCAAAAGAAATAAACCATGGGAGGGCATTTCCTCTTTCACGAAAGGGCAGGTTTGTTCGGTGTGAAGGAAGTATACTTTCCCATGTTGCCCGGTGAGTGAGGTAATCGGGATCCACTTTTTTAAAGGTTGATAATGCATTTGCAATCCCTCAGGTGCTGTAGATGTCCATGAGCGGTAATCACTTAACATCAAGTGTATCGCTCCTTGTCAAATTTTCATACAAGAAAAAATCAGTTTGTGAGTGATCTTACGCACCTTGCAAACGTGAAGCAGAAATTCGAAGAACGAAATACACGTTGTTTCAAAGGAACGACATGAATTTGGACCCACGTTGTCAAATTACAAGAGTAACGCTCCAGAGTAGACATTAGAAACTCCCATTTTTTCCTTATACTATTTATATACTTTTTTTACTTATTTATATTATTTATATATACAATATTATATTTTTTTACTTATTTTATACTATTTATGACTTCCCAAAAGAGCCATTCGCTTAACGCAAGACTTACAACAACAAAAGCAGCTTTACTCAAAATACTTCAGTTCCTGTTCCAAGTTAATTTGTATTTGTTTTAATTAAGTTTCCATTACATTGATTGAAACGAAGAAATATTAAAATGCGATTTTGATATTTTTTCCATCCAAAACACATGTTTATTTGAATCACTGCCTATTTAGAATAAAGCAAACACAATCAGATAACTTGTGACAAATCAATATTTGACTGAGAACCATAATCTCAGACCTGAGCCGTAATAACGTAAAGGAGATATTAATCTATGAATATTTTTTCTATGAATTAATGAATAAATACCTTGCAGATGCAACGGAAGCAGCTACTCCAATCTTGCTCTAGTCTGGAGTCCTGGAGACGAACTGCCTCACCTTCGTTGGAGCAGGGCGCACGCTGGCCCTCTAAAATAAAATAAAACACACACATACAGATAAATAATAATAAAGTAAATATTTTCAAACACATTTATTTTTTACACGTTCTCTAGTCTCAAACTAAGCAACGCTACAAGCATCAATCGCAAAATCAGTTTAATAAAACAGTGTAAGTACAAAAACTTACATAAACAAAAACTTAGATTTAGTGTTTTTTTTAACCTTAGATTTAGTTTAGTCAATACAGTTTTTTTAATTGAAATAAACTGACAACATAAATAGTGTTATAAAATAAATAGGTAGTTGGGATAAGTAAAAACGTAAATTATGCGTCGTTATACAATGTTTTTTTTTTGTTTTAATTGGAAAAAAAAAGAAAACAAAGGCTCATAATATTTAATTTTATAAAGAAAGCACCGATATAATTCCTATGGTCACACTGTTACCACTCGTAATACTGCTATCAAAGATTTGCGTAATTACAGCGTAGATATATAAAAATATACTAACACTACCCATTATTCTAAGTAGTGAGTCATCGACATATTATCAATATCTATGGTTTAATAGCGTGAAATCATCGTGCATCTTCGTATTACAATTTTATGCAAGACCGAGCAATAGTTTCGTATGGAACAACTTGTGTTTGTTACACTACATGTGAGATCTAATAATACTCGTTAAAATTATTTGACCGACGTCATCAAAGCTTGCATTACCAGTATTAAGAAGACATCTTTCTTATCTTATACACCTTCTGTGAAATACTTATTTAAAATATTGTTCTGCGGATGATTAATTTAAAACTGGTTTGGCTATCGCATGTCACAGATAACTTTTAAAAACAGATTTGTTACGACCACGACAATTATTAATAGAATTGTTCACTTGAGACAACAAATAGTTTCACCCGGATTTGAACCCGGAGATATTAAAATGATGAATTATTCCAGATTAGACTAAGACGTACTGTCCCACTCAGGCGCGTATCATTATGCAGACTTTTAAGTGGAACAGATTGCAATGTAAGACGCAATAATAACAAATATGTTAGAATTAAAAAAAATTGTTTTCTACAATAAATGAATATTCTTCCTCTTTGTCCTTACTCATTGTCTTATTTTTATCAATTCGTAAAAAAGAATTTAAGGTTTTATTCGGAAACTAAGTAAAACTTTTCAGAAGCAATATAATTAGCCTTATAGGCGTCTTGCATCCGCGCCTGGCGCTGCTCTTAGTTTTGATTATTTTACCAAGTCCCTATTTGAAAAGTCATATAGGTACTTTCATGTGATTCTAGTGGAATTAAAGATATTCATAAGTACAATTCCTAAAAAGAGTGTAGTAAAATTATATCAGAACCAGTTTTCCCTCAACTCCTATATCCGTGTTCACGGACAAAAGCATTGCAAAATGAAAAATGATTAAAAATTTATGACTATTACTCAGAAAATAGCAAAAATTAAGTATTTTGGTTCGGGCGTCACCATCGTCCTACCGTCGGAGAAAAAGCTAAGAACACAAAACTGTGTGCACCGAAGTCGAAGATTAAAAACACGTCGTAGTCGAAAGTAAACAGAGAGAGCATTTGTCAATCTATGTGCAATAAACGGCCGTCAGGGTGCAGGTCCGTGCGAAATTCCGCTTGTTATTTCAAGTCTTCGTGCGCGTCGTAAAGACGGCACGGCGGTTTTACGTCCCTGCGTGTCGCGGCCGCCAGTTCACATTTTTACCTTAATTCAGAGCCACGGATCCGCATTCTTATTACGTGTCTATCCGTTTCGGGCGCCGCTGCTTGCCGACTCCTGCGTAAATATCTCTAATTCGCGTGCGCCCGCGGTCGAGATTCGCCGATCGCGTTGCCGCTACTGTGACCGGCACATCATCTATTTCACATCGGATAAACTCCAGTTTGAACCATTGCTTTCAAGATACGATAGTTGTATAGATGTAAGTATTTGATTCGTAAATAGTTTTAAACTAGACATGTTTTTGTTTTAGCCGCAATTTTAGCATTCCAAAGGTACCCATTATATTTCTTTTAATCTGTATAGCGAATATTTTCTTGCGTCGAGATTAGTTTCAAATGTTGAGTAAGAAGTAAGTAAGCAAATGGTGACGGAAAAGATTAAGATCGCAGATATGCGAGGCAGAGGTAGACAAAACAGTTTGATTAAAAATAATTTAAATTAACAGTTAATCCTTGTAAACAAATGACGTTGAAAATGGAGTACACGATTGCGTGGAAATTATAATATTCTTAAGAAAGGCTTTCACCAACCGTCCATACGCTGATGGGACGATCAAAGTTTTTTTTGTAGGTATATAAGTATATAAGAGTTCCAAATAAGGAGTCAATTCGCCTATTTTAACATATATTTTACACGTTATATTTACAATTCATAACAGCCGTATCTCATAGCAACGAGCGGTCTTCAAGGCTGACGAATAAATTATTGAATCTCTCAATAGTAAGCCAACAAATTAGATAATTTGTGATTTCGAGGAATTGACTCATATTATCAAATTTTTCTATACATTCCACCAATGGTAAGTCCAATCACCTATAATGCCACCAATCGCAAATAATTGGTACAATTTTAAAAATAACAGATTCATATGTACCTATATGTATATATACATATAGGTACATATCTATTTATCAAGGTTGGTTCAACATTTTTTTTTAGGTACTATTTTTTTTAAAACATTGCCCTTACTTTGGGATAACATTATCTTGTGTTGTAAGGACGTTTTTACAAACATAAATTTTACGCGGACAAACACCCAGATGCGGTACAACTATTTGTGTTATAATTTAAATTAAATTAATTATCAATGATCAAAATTTTATTTAGGTTTAGGTTTTCAGTTAAGATTATTGGTAAATTATCAACATTTTTAATATTTAACTTCATTTCTTTTAGTTAACTAAATGACACCTAATATACTTGATTAATATTTATAAATTATTTTTCATTATCATTCAACTGTAAATGTCACATTGTAACTACGTATAGAAATATTTTCGTAGCCACGCAATGCTTCGTCATTTATTTAAATTTAATATTAACACTTGGCGAGTGTTTACTTCTCAAGTGAGGAGCAACAGTTTTTGCAGATGAAGATGTTATTACTTGCATTAATATGGAACGGCATGTTTGCGTAAATACTTGATAACATTGTTGTTATTTACGTATAAGTGCAATCCCTAACGCGCCAAGCTAGTAATATATAAACAATCTAATCATATCTATTTGAATCTAAATATATCTATTTAAATTTCAACAAAAACATGAAAAACCAACTTCTATTGCATAAGTGTAACAACTGATACCACGATATAATATACCTAATTCCAACAACAAATACCAAGATATTTTAAAGTTTAAAATAAAATTTAAACATAAAAATTTTATTTATTTTTTTTGGTTCTCTATGTTAAATTTAAACATAGAGAACCAAAATTGATCAAGAGAAGCTTACTAGGTATCCATTTATAATATGACTTCTCAAATTAAACAGTTTGAGGGCCGTGAAATGGATTCAATGATATCCTATGAATTAAAAAAAGATCATCCAATTACTTTATTCTGATAACTCTCCAAGAAAGCCTAATTTTTTTCTTAATTATAAAACTGTCTGTTATTATTTTTATATTTAAAACTGTGTTTTGAATACGATCTCATGTCATGGTAAGAAGCGGTTAAGTCTTCTAGTGGTAAAAGCACTAGAATATTCAAAGTCTATATTACTCATGCTCCGAAGACAAGCATATTGTAATTGGCGGAAAGACGCCAAGAACGCAAGCAAATTTTTCCACTGTTTTGCTTGGAAAACTGAGAGTGAGATTACTTTATATAAATCCTTAAAAACTGATCACAATTAATTCTTTGAATAAAAAGAAATCTTTATAGGAACTATAGTTATTTTATGACTAAAGTTCATAAAATATGTATAGATCATGTTAGGTATGGGGAAAAGCACAGACGTATTCTTTTCTTTTGTGGAAAAAAATATTATTTTGGTTTTTTTATCTATTATGAAGCAGAATATCTATGGTACGTTGATGATACCACTTTGTGTAAACGGATATTTAGTTTCATATTTTGTAAAAAAAGAAAGTTGTCTCATCATCAACATCATCATCATTATCCTCCTGCCCTTATCTCACCTAGGTCGTTATGAGATCAACACAACATTTGAATCATGTTAGAAGTGGTTTTGGCTAGGTTCTTTACGACCGACCTGCTTGACGTCAAACCTCCTTGGGACACACACAGACCCGGACAATTTTATCTGTGGGTCCCACAAAAACTTGTCTCACGAATCGAATGTACCGAAGCCAATAGCTTATAAACTGCGCCACCAACTCATATCATGTCAAATATATTCTTGTCAGACACGTATCATCACCATTTATCATAGAATATAAATGAACACATATACAAAAATATAATAAGGTAGTGAATATCGAGTGAAACCACAGATTGCAAAAGAAAGTATCGTAATGTCGTACCAAGCTCGCTTCAAAAAATAAATACAATGTTTAATCCATCATTTAAATATAAGGTGTACAATTTCACACCAACCGGCCAGGAACAGTTACCGGTTGTGGCGAAGAATTCTTGTATCCATATATTAAACAGAAAACTTTAGGACTCATGAACACAAAGCGACACAAACCTACTAAATTTTCAGATATTTCATTTTAAATAATTCGACTGATAAGTATGAGTGAGATTTAAAAAGTATAGAATACGACTAATAGAATTTTATACTTTTTAACTTCACTTTTTACCAATAAATACCGTTGTAGCAACTTTATAATTAAAGTAGTGTTGTAAAAAAATTACAGATTTGTTATAAATATCTATCAGGACCCGATAGGAAAAACGACTTGTGATTGGACTCATAATGCCTTATTGCGATTATTGTAATTGTTTCAATATTTAAAATATTTGGATCGTCCAACTTTTTCGAATATTTTGTAAGCACTACACTCAAGGTGCGTTGGGCATAGTGTTGCGCAAGCCGCTCCGGAGCGACTTGCCGCTTATGTACGGTGCATAGATCACATGACTGATTCGTAAAGACGAATACAGCGATCTCTAATGTCTCGGCGAGTATGCTCGAGCCTGCAATATATCGCAATCACAGATTCGTTCGTAGTTTTAATGATCTTTGCAAATTGCTTTTAAATATAATAATTATTACCCTGTAGTATCTAAAACCGGTATTCGAATAAAGGAGATAAAACAAGTGTGTGTTCACGCGGTTATTGTATCTTGTACGGAGTATACCATTGAAATAGCTATTAATTAACTGTGTCTGTTACTGAACTCTTATAACGAGCGTTATGAAAGCATAAATATAAATAATTAATAAGTTTGTGTATACTTATGCACTCACATAAGCCTTTAGACTTAACTCTTTTAACTAAAGAAAAATAACTAAAAATATCTCGTGCCAGTACTCTTTGTTTATGAAATATTAGTTTAAAAAAAACTAAAAAATACGATTTTATAGATAACCGAACTAAAAAGTAGAAAATAATTATCAAATTATGAATAGTGTAATTAACAAATAAAATTTTTATTGTAGAAAAGCGTGGGGTGCTTGGAGTCAATTGTATACAATATTTTAATGACAGTATGTACAGTATTCTAGTAAAAGTACAGACATAATGGAAATATCTTTAAAAGCACCCCACGCTTTTCTACAATAAAAAAAATCCTTTTCCCTCATCCCAAAAGTGTGAATAGTACAGAACTTTTTACAAAAATTTAGTTTTAATTGAAACCTCTGATAAAATAATTTTCATAAACATTCTATGAAAAATATATCGCATTTTGTTTTGATTTAGCATTGATTCAGGTTTCATGTTGTAATTTTTGGATCGAAATAAAATCTAAGAATAGTGAGACTTACTGATGAGCCCGTTGTCAGCTAGTGCTACGTGTTCACCGAGTACGACGACCAAGACCAGGGCAACGTATGCGACGATGTGTACGGTAACGCGTACAGCGGCATGTGCGGCGTGGTGTAGGACGTGCGGTGCGGCGTTCGTTGCGGCGTTCGGTGCGGCGTGTTGTGCGGCGTGCGGTGCGGCGTGCGATTCGACGTGCGGTGCGGCGTGCGTAGAGAGGCGCGGGCCTCGCATGGTCATTACTTGCGGCGCCAGCGCCCGCCGCGGCGCGCCGCAAGCATCACACCCTCGCGCCGCGACGCTCCCGGGCGATACCTGCGTCACGAGTACCATTAGCAAATGATACTAAAGTTGTACTAACTAGAATAAGCATTCAATATATATATGTCACAATCCTACCCTTGTTCTACCTGGTGGGGTTGGTACAACATGTGAATGATATGGTAAGAGGTTTTCCGAATTTTTTTACTACTGGCTACCTGACGTAAAGCTTCCTTGGGAAGAAGCACCCAAATCCGGAATGATAAGCAGTGAGACGCATAAATATTAATCCCGTGTGGGAATCGAACCCACGACCCCTGGGACGGAAGCTCATTGATTAGCAACTGGGTCACTAAGTCATCATTAGATTATATTCAATAGTCGCTGACGCAGCAAACGTTGTTTTGACATATAAATTAATTCTAGGGATTTGCAGGGTATAAAAAAGTAATACTTAGAAAATTCTTTTTCTATGTGTTTAGATTCCCTGAACACAAAGCAAAAGAATTTTGGGAACGCTCGCATAAATTGTTTGACAAGTAGGAACAGTTTGTATGGGAAAATAAAATTGTTGCTATTTCTACTTTCCATGCACTTTTTCCATAATTTCCCATAAACTTAAACGTTTAAACGTTCTCTAGACTAGGTACCACAAATATTCTAAAATTAGCCAAATCGGTTAAGCCGTTCTCGAGTTTTAGCGAGACTAACGAACTGCAATTCATATTATGTATGTGTATACAATTTTTTTTTCCCGAGTTTCTTCTAAAATAATCATTCGATTGTGATAAAGCTTTGGTGAGTAGCATATGCCTCACTCGTGTGGATTTAATTTCAGGTAGTGAGTAAATATAATGATTACGACGTATATTATATTCCGGTAAAATTTCTATCCACTACTACAGGTTTAAGTTTTGAATGAATTTCATTAATCTAAAAACATACTGTTGTAGAGGAGATTGAAACCTACAGTGACACTGAAATTAAAGAAGATGTAAAAGTAATGTAGCCTACACATGTCCCAATCCTGGCGAGTGTATCAAAGCATAGTCGACCACGCGGCCCCATTGCGGATTTGCGGAGTTCGCATATTTTGTCATTATTACATACAATATTAGTAAATATACTTTTTTTTATGTGAGAAAGTGGCAAGCCAACTGCCGGTTCACTGGTGCTAAGTGATAACCGCCTCCCATAGACATTTGCACCAATAGAGTTGCGATACCACCTCCCATAGAGTTGCGTTGCCATCTTTTAGTGAACTCTGGCTACCTCACTCACTAGACGAGACGCAGAAGTATGACACTTCCACTTCACGCCGGTATTCAGTGATGTCGTGGTACTTACCCAGACGGACCTGCCCATTCGTGTAGCCGAAGCTGTTTCGTTATGACAATACCATATGTATTTTAACATATAAATATCTTAATTATAATTAAGAATCTGCCCGCTAACTCGCATCTCTTCACACTATAAGTGTACCGTGACAACTACTTACAAGCAGTACTTTATTGACAAAACTATTGCTAAATCTAGGTTAATTCAATATGGCAGTTAATCATGAAGTTAAATTATTTCAACATAATAATCAGGTTCCACCTGATCGAAATTCATCAGCTAGTATGGAAATTGAATTAATTTACTCGAATTCGCTTTAGCCACGTTTTTAAATTAAATAAATTCGTTCATCTATAAATTCTCCAATTTTTAAAAGATCGAGGGAACTTTTATATTCACCGAAATATTTTCGCTTTAAGTTTGCCGATATCTAATACCTTTAAACGGGCAATTCTTGTATATAATCGGAATCTCGGAAACGGTTCCAGCGATTTTCATGAAATTTAGTATGTGCGTAGATTCGGGGGCGAAAAATCGATCTAGCTAGGTTTCATTTTTAGAAAATGTCCTTTTATCCCTGTTTTCAGGTAATGAAAAATATCATTCGAATATGACGGTAAATTTCGCCGAAAAAAAATGTTATAATAGCTGGGTTGGTAATCGGGAGGCCCCGAAACAGAAGGCCACGGTTCGTGTCACGATCATTTACACACTTTTTTTCTATTCCAGATCATTGCTTTCTTTATTTTTATTTTTTTAATTTCCAAAATACACGATTTACCAAAAAAAAAAACGAGCAAAGCTCGGTCTAACATAGTCAAAAGGTAGAAGAAACATACAAACATTCAGTATTAAAACGGTATTATAAATATATATATGGAAGTAGGAACAGCACCCCAAAAGATATAAATTTCTGTAGACAAAAAAATATTGACGATTAAGTGAATCGACTGCGCAAAAATCGTTTGAAGTAAAAGAAAATATTCCATTGTCAGTCTTTACTTTAAAGTAAAAAGTCGATATTGAATCAGTTATTTGAAATGGTTCACGCCTTCAAACGTCTCTTTTCGACATTGTCTCATAAGCGGTTTACCTCGGACGAGTCACAATTTTGCAAATGAACAGAACAATCATAATACAAAACTGAATCAACAAGATTTCCTGCGTTTTAAAAGGTTAACTTTCGAGCTGCAACAATGTCACCAGGCACATACGAAAATACAAGTACATTCGTTATGTCCCGTCACTTACTTTCAATATGTCACCTTTAAATTGTTTTGTTTATTTAAAAAATTCACGATATTTTTTTCGACAGGGTATGTATCTATTAAACTCACATTTATAACCTCCATCTTGAGTACAGGCTAGCTCTAAATATAAACGAATATCATACCGTTAGTAATGATATTTTCTCGCTAAATATCCTTATACTCAAATTACAATTTACTCTCACAGTTCACTCTCGACTGAGCTTTAAAATACGCAAGCAAGTGTAGCTATAACAATAAATGCATCAAGAGGAAAATAATACGAGAACACCTTGTAGCTATTGTTGTTTCAATATTGTTATAGTTTTAACAAAAAAAAACCACTTAAGTATTACTTTTATTGTACTGAGACTTATACAGTTGACTCTCATTGTTTCAATAACTTGTATACTTTAACCCTATTTTATTATTGATAGATTACTTACATTCTTATCACTAAATTACTCATATTTTATAAACAAAAATTCGATAAAAAAACCTTGGACAGTTCAGAGTGACGTTAACGAGTCAACGGACTCCAAATTATCAAATGATAAGTAATTTATTTACGGCTTGTTTTTGCATGAACGACCCAGATACGACCCGACGATCAGTGATTGATGGAACAGGATGCGAGGGCCAGCTTGGAGAGTCTCCAACTCATACTGCACACAACAATTACGTTTATGGAGATTTCTAAGAAGACAATGAATTTTAAAGCCTTATATAAAACATTATCTGAAAACAAATGGTCACAATATATGACACGTGAGCTGAACGTTCGAGATATGCAGGTACGTGGTTCAATCGTTTTATAAAGCTAGTGGGTTATTTGGTGTGGTACTGATACATGATTAACTAAACTGAAAATAAAGGATCCTTGTGTAATTATATCCAGAAATTATTTGGTTATTCCCAATGACTTCATTCGTAATTTATCAACGGAATTCGTGCTATATATATCGCTAGTGGTATACGATGATTCTCGGTAATTTGCTATGCTTTGTTAAAATATCTATTCATTATCACACTAATCATTCCTTATAAGACAAACAGCATGTGGCGACGTGAATCTAGTTCGCCAGTCCTTTTATTGATCTATGCACATATTTGTTACAAATTAGACTGCCTGCTTTAAATTTCTAATACAGCAGCGAACCAACTGTTTCGTGGTGTTCTATGTGCTGCTCCCACATAATTGATTTTCATGTCATTAAAAATAATAAGAGTATTGATTCGAATACAGAATCCATTATAGTAAAACTTGCATTCGAAAAAAAAAAAGGTATAAAATGAATTTTTAAACTATAAACTTTTGAGAAATACAATAAGAGCTTAAGTTTAGCCTATATTGAATAAAGATACTTTGACTTTGAAAAAAAAATATTCAGATTCAAATTGAAACAATTGCCTTGCAACTAAATTCCTAATGGATAACACACATAACAAATAACTATAAAACGACGGTAACAGTACCGAAATATTCATAAACATAAAATCATTCATCAGCATAAATTTTGAATAAATCACTTAATTGTGAATAAAACATTTAAGTTTTCATCTTGCGGGGATTGTTAGTGAAGAAACGTTTTTATCTGAATCATGTTACTTAGTTGCAACGTCCAGAGATGTTTTGTTTCATTGATGATAAAGTCATTTAAAGTGCTGTTAAAACATAAATCGATATCATTGTAATAATGTTGAGTTTGTGCATGTTTTCAGATAATTCTCGTACCCCGAAAAGCTCTTCTTTATCTATCCAGTAATATTCTGATTTCAACCAACTTATTAAGCTCCAATATGTGATCCGTCGCCGACGATGAACTTTTATCTATAGAGTCGTCTTACGCCAACATCTTTGCACAAAAAAAATCTAATTTTACTAACGCGTACGACGGTACAGTGGGCTGTGGGCGAGAGTAAGGGATAAATATTTTTTGTTACACTGTTATTATCTACATGAATGGTACCCTAAGTTAATAGATATTGGAGCATGAATCACGATAAACATCCTAGGACGAATTATAGAAACTAACCGCAATGTCAGACTGTTATGTCCATCTGACGTTGAATTATATTTACAACTGAAATAGACGTTAAACAATAATTATGAAAAGCGATTAGCACGCGTAGGAATATCGTTTTTATGATTAATTTATACCGAGACGTCCTTAGCGCGTTTTTTATTGCATTCCTCAAGACCATTGACCTCCAGTACTCGAACATATAACAATTTATTCATTAATAATAACTGAGAAGCAAAAAGTGGTTCATATTAAGTGCGTTTACATCACTACAGTCGCGAAGTGGTTCGGGGCGCCAGAAGAATTTCACCTCTAAAGCATTGTCAATTATTTCAGTTCCGGTTTCAGATCCTCCTCCATAATGCGTTTAGACACAACATAAAAACATACAAAACATAATTGATTCGTTTAACTTATTAGTTTTGCGAATGGAATGCAGTGTATTGCTAATGTATTTTACACG